GAAGGCCACGGTGATCAGGCACGGGGAGACCCTGCGCCGCACCAAGGAGGAGATCAACGAGCTCAACCGCATGATCCAGAGGCTGACGGCCGAGGTGGAGAACGCCAAGTGCCAGGTAGGGTCATCTGCATCCAAGGCCAGAGAGGCTGCGGCCTGCCCCGTGTCCCACAGCCGGCGTGCGCCCTCTCTGGATCTCACCCCTCATCCACAGCCCCGTGTGCATGTCCAGCCCCTGGTCGTGGTCCCTCGAGGAGTCCCAGGTGGTCGAGGCAGGAGGCCCTGTTTCTGGGCACTCCCAGCTGGGTGGAGGGAAGGGACCTCTCCCGGTCATGGACAGAGAGCCCCAGGGACCGTAACCCACCTTGCTCCCCTCTGGGCCCCCAGAACACCAAGCTGGAGGCCGCGGTGACCCAGTCCGAACAGCAGGGCGAGGCAGCCCTCACTGATGCCCGCTGCAAGTTGGCGGAGCTGGAGGCCGCCCTGCAGAAGGCCAAGCAGGACATGGCCTGCCTGCTCAAGGAGTACCAGGAGGTGATGAACTCCAAGCTGGGTCTGGACATCGAGATCGCCACCTACAGGCGCCTGCTGGAGGGTGAGGAACAGAGGTGAGTCCACCCAACCTGGCCTGAGTCACCTCTACCACCAGCCCAGCCCCCAAGCCCTACCTTTGTCCTTGTATATGCCTCTGCTTCCTTGTGGAGGCTCTGGGAAAAACCTGTCTCATCCCCTCTGGACCAGGTGGGCTTTGGGGGGGGAGGGTGTCACCATCAGTGTGTTCCATCAGGCCCTCTGCTCCTAATTCCTTTTTGGTGCTTGACCCTTCCCCAAGACTTGGGGAGCTCCATCAGCAGCTCTGGCCCAGTGCCTAACGTCACCCTTTTCTCTTGGCTGCAGACTTTGCGAAGGCGTGGGGACCGTGAATGTCTGTGAGTATCCAGGGCCCAGTGTGGAGGGACTCACTAGCTGCCAGGGGGGACACAGCATCTGGGGAGGGGGGTTCACTGAGAGTCGCATATATAAGAGGGAACTGACATCCCAGCTGGCGGGATTTGAGGTCAGACAGCGGTTAGGACCACAGCTCCAGACTAGCTGGACCCAGAATGGTCAAGAAAGATGCTCGTGGTTTCCAAGAGCCAAAGCTGAGGGCATGGGCGGGGCGGTGGATGGGGAGGGTGTGCGCTCCAGAATGCTGATTCAGGCTTCGGGGTTCACAGGTGTGAGCAGCTCCCGGGGCGGAGTCGTGTGCGGCGACCTGTGTGTGTCCGGCTCCCGGCCTGTGACTGGCAGCGCCTGCAGTGCCCCCTGCAGCGGGAACCTGGCAGTGAGCACGGGACTGTGCGCCCCCTGCGGCCCGCTGAGCACCACGTGCGGCGTCGGGTCCTGCGCCAACGGCTACCGGAAATGTTAGACATCCGACCCCGGCTGCCCCCGCGTGGCTCCTGCCCAGCCTGGGCGCCCGGAGCAAGAGATGGGCTACTTCTGTGCTTTGCAAGGTCCCTCCCACTCCCGGGCTCTCCCTTCCCTCTGTGATTCCCTCTCCACCTTGGCTCTGCTGCCCGCAACTGGGAAAGGCTACCCGGAGACGAAGTCTTTTTGGCGCCCACGGAAAGGGGGCTCAGGAGCAGGGGGGGCCAGGACAGGGACCTCCCTGGGCTGCTGTGGAGATGACGCCATCCCCCACTCCCAGCCTCTCTCTTTCCTCTTCTGTCCTGCTTATCCCTTGACCTGGGTTTCCAATAAATCGATGTAGCCAACCCCGGGCCTTGTCTGTGTCTCTGTCAACTCCTCAGGGGGTGCGGTTTGAGCGGGTCACCAAAGTCACATGGAGCCCTGGGAGTAAGACCTGGACCTGGGTCTCCAGTCTGGTTCTCTAGCCTTTGGCTCACAGCAGGCTTCCAGTTCAGCCAAATGTTGTGCCGGCCTCCGCATGTCACTGTATCATCACCACCCTGATGGCACATCCTGCAGATGCAGGAACCAGAACTCAGAGACACTCAGCGACTGGGACAGCGTCTCTCCCCCTTAGTCGGTCATTCAGCTGGGGTTTGACTCCCGTGTGTGTCTCCAGAGCTCATTCCACGAAACCACAGCCACCTCCCAGAAAGCATTGCGTGCACATCTGTCAGCTGATGGGTGAGGAAAATCAAGCGCCCCCGTCACTCAGCACTTAAGGAAACAGTACTCACTGCTAGGCAGGGAGGACTCACACCAGAGTAGCTCAGTGGAGTTCCTTAAGGGGTGAGCACATGACCATGATTTAAACTTTCAGCACGCCTTTGACGTGGCTTTCCTTTTTTCTAAGGGAGTCACCCTGGGGTTTGGAAACTTCCCACATGGCTGATACATTTCCTCAAAGACAGCACAGCACGTGGCAAGAAGGTGATGTGGTGAAGAGGTGACAGCACAGGCTCGAGCCAGACTTCCGGGTCCAAAGCTGGGCTCTGTTCCTTCCTTGCTGAGTAACCTTGGGCAATGTGCTTACCCTCTCACATCTCTAAAAATGAAGATGATAGGCCGGGGTCGGTGGCTCAGCCTGTAATCCCAGCACTTTGAGAGGTCAAGGCGAGTGGATTGCCTGAGCCCACGGGTTTGAGACCAGCCTGGGCAACTTGGCAAGATCCTGTCTCTACAATAAACCAAAAACTAGCCGGGTGTGGTAGCACACACCTGTAGTTTTGGCTACTTGGAAGGTTAAGGCAAAAGGATCGCCGGAGCCCAGTAGGTTGATGCTGGGGTGGCCATGAGTGTGCCACTGCACTCCAGCCTGGGCGACAGAGTGAGACTCCAACTCAAAAAATAAAATAAAAATGAGGATGATAAAAAGAGCACCCACTTCAAAGGGCTTGATGGAGGAATAAGTGATTTCATGGACATAAGAGGCTCAGACAGTGCACGTCACAAAACAGTCACTGCACAGGTGTCTCATTAATATTCTTGCACAGAATGTAAAATAGAAGCGAGAAAAATGTCCATGTCTTCTAGGGCCATTGAGTTCCTCCTGGCAGGAAGTTCACCTGGACTGGTGAGGATCTCACACTTGGGATGTGGGGAGAAATGGCTACTGAGCTGCACTTCAGGCCAAGGCGAGTCACGGAATGTGCATCCCTACAGAAGGTGAATCTCTCCACTTCCAGTTCAAGGCTCAGAAATGCAGCAGAAATTAAAGTCCCCACTCCCAGCCCTCGGGGCAATAGAAACAAGATTATTGAGAGACCAAAAGCCTTGATCTGAGAAGTCAAAGCCTCCTGTGAGGGGCAGGATGCAGGTAAGGTCTCTCGGCCATCCCTGATGGAATTCTGGAGAGTTCCAGAATGTGCGATCCTTCTGACCAGCCATCTTAGAAGCAGGCCTTCGTCGGAGTCCAGACCTGAGGCTCAAGCTCCAGCCCCTGCCCTCTAACCCTCCCCAGCCCAGAAGACCACCGCAACTGAGAGACTGATCACCAGCCTGAGAGAATGATCACCAATGTCCCCCACCCTCCGTCTCCCACTCATCAGCCCAGCTGAGTCTAGGCCACCTGCCTTGTTTCACTCTCTCACCTCCCTCCAGCTCTGTCTCTCCCTTCCCATTCCAGCTCCACAGCCCTCACCTCCCTCTCGCCTCCCCCTGGCTCAGACAGGGGAGCAACCGTGAATGAATCACATAACGCCCAATGCCCCTGGTGCAGCCTGGAAAGAAAACAGAGCGCTTCACTGTGTGACCTTTAGCAAGTCGCCTCCCTTTCTGGGTCCCAGTGTATTCACTAAGGAAATAAAGCGTTTGAGCTGGAAGGCTACCGGAGTTCCTTACCAATTTAAAGCTTCATTATCCTTTGGGAGAAGTGGAGCGGGATTAGGAGCTAGAGACACACCGGGATCCAGGGCCATGCAACTGTGGCAGGTATGCGTGTGTTGTCTGCACGTTAATTCCACATCGCTCAGAGTCTGGAGGACACTGTCTGTGAGTGAAACAAGACTGCATCCAGGGGCGTGTGCAGCTTCAAGCATCTGTGTAGAAACGTGTGTGTTGTGTGAGACTATGCTGTCTCTCTGTATGATTATACCTGTGAACGTGTGTCTGTCTATGTGCTAAAAAGGGGACTGGGGTACACGTGGATTGAGCACAGTGTAGATTCATGTGTGCTGGCAAGGCGGGGTCCCAGATAAAGAACTAGGCTAATGTGGGAGTGATGATGGCCAGCTGCTGCTGGTGTCACACTGGGGGTGCTCTCGGACTGGGGAGCCTTTGGTCTGACCTTGAACCTGTCTACTTACTCTCCTGCCCTGCTGTCTCCCTCACTCTAGCTGGGACAGAGGGGGCCCGCTGGCTTTAGATGTCACACAGCCTTCTTTAAAGGTGCTCAAACCCTCCCCAAGAACGCCAGTAAGCAAAGGATTCATTATACAGAAGTAACTCTTCCTGTGTTTTAAGTACTCCACACCCAGCAATATCTTTAATTCTCAAACAACCCTAGGTAAGATAGCGTCCTACTTTACAGACAACTGTCAGCTCAGAGGGACTACACAGGGAGGGCAATAAGAGGGAAGAGTGACTCTTCACCATTTAGATCTGGGGGAGGGCAGGACCGAGGGCCAGAAACGGGGGAGTTTGACCAAGGTAAGAGTAAGACTAGGAACAGGATCCAGAACCTTCCCATCTTACTCTAGGCTGACCTGGTAGATATCTTGTAGCTGAACTCAAAGACTGCAATCATACTTCACAAGACACTTCCAAGGGGGGTTGCGTAGAATGAGACAGGCTAATAGTGGGAAAATGTGACCCAACACATCTCAGGACAGGATTGACCAACCAGGACCACAGAGCCTCAACCTGGTCACATTTCCTGTGTGGCAGACCCTGGAGATAGACAGATGAGGCCGTCACCACCCTGGAAGACCTCAAATAGAGATGTGGACACGGCCCACTGTACATCTAACATGTTTCAGTGCTATGAAGTGTGAGACAGGCATGAGAAGCCAACTGAAGACCAGCCCCTTTGGGTCCCCTCCTGCTGAGAACTGGTGACAACCATCTGCCCTTCAGAAGCCACCCCAACTCACAAAGCCTGTAAACAGGCCCGGTGAAGGAATTTCCATAAAAATGCGGGGCACTTCTTCCCCGCCCCAGGCTGGAATGCGCCTCCATGCCCAGGGCGGTCTCTCAGAGAGTCAGCCTCCAGACCACAAACACTGCCACAAAACACATGGCCTTGGCCTAGGAAGAGACTTAGCCCTGACCCTAAGGCCCTTGAGACTTTCTGGACTGACATCAGGCAAGCCCAGGCTTGGGTTTTGAAAGGGAGAATGTGAGCAGCTAGGCTACCAGTCCCGATGACATTTCTGCCTACCCTTCCACAAAGCTCCTTTGTTGACACGAACGTCGCAGCAGGAGCTGGAGAAGACTAGCCTTGAATGTCCTAGAATTTCCAGACCTCCTCGCAAGATGCACGGCTGGACTAAGTGTCCTGCAAAGGGGCTGCCCTGCTTCCAGGCAGCTGCCTTGCACGGGGAGTGCTGGTGAGAGTATTGCTCCACTGGGGCTGACGGGTGAGCCCAGTGGGGCCACATCCCCTACCCCTCAGGCGGGTGGCAGCCTGCCAGTCAAGTCTCAGCCTCATTCCTCTCACATGAAACCAATCTGTTTACCCAGGAAGAGGGCCTTTTGGATACCTGTCCTCTGGGCAGGGCTCGGGAGAACACAGCAGACACTCTGGCACTAGAGTGCCTTAAAAGGTAAAGCCAGGGCCTCTGGCCAATGATGCACTGTGGCCCCACCCAGAGACATAGAAAGCAGGAACTATTGTTGCACTGATGATGTAATGCTTTGTGCAATACAGAAGAATGTACACTTGCTGTCCAGAAGCTTCTCTCGGGCCTATGTGGCAAGAAGGGCAGAAACCCAGTCCTTCTCTGGCCATCCCACCTCCCAAACTGGACAGTTTTTTGCCCCTGGAAGTCCAGCTGCCTTGTGAAAACTGGCATCCAACTATACCACAGATCTGGAAGTGGGGGCAGAGTCAGAGCCGCCATCTCTTTCCAAAGTCCACACTTTCCTCCACTATAGTACGTTGTTCCCCTGACCACTGTCAGATCAGATTACTCGTTAAACTAGGATCCAGGCCAGGCATAGTGGGATGGCTTATGCCTATAATCCCAGCACTTTGGGAGGAGGATAAGGCGGGAGGATCGCTTGAGGCCAGGAGTTCAAGACCAGCCTGGGCAACATAGCGAGACCTTTTCTCTACAAGAAATCAAAAAAATTACCCAGGCATATTGGTGTGCACCTGTAGTCCCAGCTACCTGGAAGGTTGAGGCGAAAGGATCACTGAACCCGAGGTCAAGGCAGCAGTGAACCATGATCGTGCCACTGCACTCCAGCCTGGGTGACAGAGCAAGACTCTGACACAATATATATATATATTCATTCCAG